AGACTGACCTTGATTTAGGGTTATTCGCTCGATTGAGCGACGGACGTTTAATGTCCAACAACCACATCGAGCGCACCGCGCGCGAACCCTCGCACACCATCCAACGCAACTCAAGGTATGTCTCAAATCTTTCATTCTATAGTTCTACATTTACTGGTTTTACATGTACATTCAGGTCCTCGCCACTCAAACTAGCATCCCCCAGCCGGCCGCCCTCTCGCTCCACACTCCTCTCGCCCTCGCGCCCCATTCTCCCGCGCCCGCGCACAGGGCGCGCTCTCCGCGTTCCAGGCGCTCCTGCCCGACCTCCGCGCGGGCGCGTTCCTGCGCCAGCTGCTGTTCAGAACGACCGGTGCCCGATAAAGAATAAGCGCGTGAATGTCATTTCGGACCAGTGCTGTAGTGACGACGATCAATGGTGTACGAACAACAGTACGTGCACCTCCTTTCACTCTTCTCCAACACTTGCTCACATCCAATACAGACCGATATCCCCTTCGTGACTACGCTCAGCACGCCCTCCGCCAGCACGCCCCCCTCAGCAACCGTGCGATCATTGCCGGTAGCGTCGTCGGTGTCGCTGCATTCGTCGTCCTCTCGCTCGCTATGGCCGTTTGCTATCGCAGACACCAACAGAAGAAGCCCATATTCTTCCGCCGTTCCCGTCCCCCGCCACGCAATATGCTTCTCGCCAGTGAGGACATGGACGATTACGACCTCGGCCCGCCCATGTCCTCCTACCGCGATACCCCCGGGACTGGCTCCGCGCCATCCCTCGCTTCGCGTGCGACGTCCTACAACGCAGGCTCTCTCCAAGGCGCACCTCTTGTTCCTCCCGCTCCCTTCGCCGACCAGGGCCGTGTTTCGTACTCCCCACACCTCATGGGTATGCGTACCTCTGAGTCTGGCTCAATTTTCCAGGAGGCCGTCTGGCCTCCCCCGCGTTCAGCGCTTGTAGACCCGCTTCTGGCATCCTCGGAAGACCTCTCGCACATCGTTGACGACGTTATGGGTACCGCCAACCCATCGGGCGGCGACAGCAGTCCAGGCTCCGGTGCCGGCGCCGTGCGCTTTCCCGGGTCAGTCGCTACTGCCGCACAGGCGACGCACGCGCGCGCACCCTCGGAGGACCCGCTCATGGGCAGCGAGCTCGAGTCGCCCTCGCACTCGACACGAACACCCACGTGGCGCAGTCCGCTCTTTGTGACAAACATGGGCTGCCAGACCGCGTCCGTACGCACGGCAGCCAGCCCACCGCCCGGCGCGCGGAGTCGGTTCTCGCAGGGGCAGTCTCGTCCAAGCCACGACGACGAGGGAGGCATGTACGCCATGGGTGAGGCACTCTAGGCTGGCCTGCCTGCTTCGAAAACACCCGCCTTCTGTTTCTGTTGCTCAGCATAATTCGCTTAGGGCCGCCTCCGGTGGCCCCGCTGACCTTATACTGCATGATTCTGGATCGCAATTGTGTATATTAAGCATTTCTGCTTGGACTTTCTGTACGGACTCGCTTACTGGACTCGTCCCCATGCTTGCATCTTTCGGACACTTAGACACTGGTCCCCACAATCATTAATGGCCACCCGCGCAAACATGGATATTTCCCGTACCAAACTGAGACTACCTACTACGCAGATCGTCCATGTAAGTGTAATGATGCTGGCACCCGCACCCGCAGCAGCGCCGTATCCACCACCAGATGACGAGCCCGTCATCGCGAGCGACGGCCCGGGAGAGGGTTGCCGGAAGTCCGGCGCATATCCTGCGCCCGGCTGGGCGTATCCGCCGCTGTAGGCCGAGTAGTCGGGGTAGTGCTCCGAGGACGAGGGCGCGTACTGCGACGCGCTCTGGCTGTAATGTGACGGCGCAGAGACTGTCGGGGGACTCATCGAGCGGTGTGTTGCGGCGGCACCCACGCCAGCGCCTGCGATGCCGCCCGCGAGGAATGCAGGGACGTTGCCGTGCTGGCGCATCTCATCCGAGCCCGCGGCGGAGCCCGGGGCACCTTGTGAGCCGGGTCCAATAGCGCCCGAGCCAGCAGGATTATACGTGTACGGCTCGACATCGTCCGCACCTGCGAGGTCTATGTGGGGAAGCGTACCGCCACCGCCGACACGATCAGGGTCGAAGTTGCCGTCAAAGTCATCACGCCTCCTGCGACGGAAAAGCAGGAAGACGAGAACAGCAAGCAAGAGAGCACCGCCGACACTGCCAACGACACCACCCACAATCGCGCCAGTGTGTGACTTGGAGGAAGATGCGTCGCTGTTGGCCGTGGGTAGAATAGTCTGGGTGGAGGTCTCGGTCGAAATGACGGTGGAGGTGAAGATGGAGCCGGCAGCATTAGTCGTTCTATCAGGAAAGGGGTGTCAGCACGAGAATGTTGATGTAAAGGGTCGATTATCATGATCGCGAAAGCTATTGATACAAGACACTGCATCATGTACATTGGCAGCAGTACAAGGGCCTGCACAAAACTTGTCTGCTGCTTCCGCATATAGACGTCGCTGTGATACCGACAATATGCATTCTGGCATATATCCAATACGAAGACACGTGCAGTCGCAGACAGATGGCGCCATGGACAGACGAACCCAGAGCCATCGCGCGACTTGGCCCACATTCACAGGAGCATATAGACACCGATCAAGGTATCCGCAGCGACGCAAGACGATGTAAACATACAGAACACTCACACAAAGGTACTTGTATGCGTGGATGTTGAGAATGAGAATGAAGTGGAAGTGAAAGACGATGTCGACGGGGAGCTGCTGGTGCCGGAGGACCCAGAGCCGGTGACACCCCCAGATGAGGACGGGGCCGACGATGTCGAGGAGCCGGAGCTGGAACCGGTTGAAGACGGCGTGCTCGACGGCGTTGTGCTCGACGATGAACTTGACGGCGTAGTGCTTGACGAGGATGTGGAGGTCGAGGAGGACGAAGACGAAGACGTTGAAGACAACGTTGACGAAGCAGACGGCGACGAAGAAGAACCTATGGACGTGGATGAATGCGGATCAGAGCTTGTCATCGCATTCGCAGATGGTCCATCCTCGGGGCATCCGCACCTGCGAGGAGCTCCTAAAGATACGGTACATGTGCTCCTCGTACGCAAGGCGGCTGAGAAGGGGCTTGTGGAGGCCGTACGTCAGGGCCTTTTCCGCTTCAACGCCGCCGCGATCCTT